ATACACACACACACACACACACACACACACATACATATATATATATATGTATATATATATATATATATGTATATATATATATATATGATATGATATATGATATATAAATAATAACCAACACATATGTCAATACCACTATCTGCAATTACATAATATTGGCTGATATATTGGTCAAATTTACTGTTAATTATCTCGTTATAGTCAAGTTAATTTAATTTATATAGCCCAAAATCTCAGCTTTACAACAGGTGACACCCTCTCTCCGTAGACTTGGAGAAAAGGGGACAAAGGAAAAAACTCTGGAGCAACAGATGCGGTTAAATATATATTTCGTGATATTTTCAGTCTCGTATTGATTGTTGCTGCAGCCTCACTAAACTGGGATTTTCAGGTTGATGTTGATATTTGAGAATTTAAAGTATCCAATACCAGTGCAGTTTCTGATTTTATTGTCTCATTTTTGTACCTTATTGCATACCTTTTGTTTGTTTGTTTGTTGGTTTAAAGAATTGTGGCAGAGAAACATACTGAGTGGGGCATTTTATAGTTGAAAAATGAACTAGTCTGTGCTCTCTGGTGAACAGACTATGTAATGGAGCAAGTGTTTCTGAATGGCCTTAAACATATCTTTTGCAATGTAGTGCAATCTCTCACTGCTTATCGGCTGATATATATGCCAGTAGAATATATCTGTAAGAAGTCAATATCGGCCCAATATGTCTGCATGGTTGAATTATCAGTCTGGCTCTAGATGTCTTTTGTGTTTGTGTCTTAAGAGGTCCAAATGCCCCTAAAACAACAGCCACATGGAGAAAGTGAGGACATTTTGTAAATCCTCACTCTAGAAATGGGTCGTTTTAAGATTAAAGGAACAGTTCACCCCAAAATCAAAAATAAATATTATTCCATATACCTGTTGTGCTTTTTATCAATAAAGCGTGCATCTACTTTTAGCTCACCTAGCACCACTGAGCAAGCTCACAGCTCTTGACCATGAGTAGATGCATGCTTCCTCCTTCATGGTAATACAGTTGGTGGGTGTAGTTGGTTGTAAGAAAATAGTTCCTCCATGAATCTGCGCACAACAAAGTCTCTGGATTATCTTGAGAAATCAGGTCATAATTTCATTGCTGTTGAGTTTTTTAAATGTATTTTCTTGGCACTTTGAGCACCACAAGCAGAGTGCCATCTAGTTCCATTATATTTGAGAGAAGGCAGACATCTCCAACACTCTGTAACTCACACCAAAATGATCTAGACTGATATAGCACTACAGGTAAGAGGAAGAATATGTATTTTTTGATTTACCTACCTTTAAGGTTAGAATAAATGTAAGGAAATTTCATGTGAAATGAAATCAAAAGTTAATATTTTTAAATGTTTTTTAAAATTATTTTTCAGGGTAACGCAGAAAAGAAGAAGAAGAAGGACAGAATGCAGGATTTGATTGATATAGGCTTTGGCTACGATGAGACAGACCCCTTTATCGACAACTCAGAAGCTGTGAGTGCACTTCACTTTATTAATAATGAAGTGATTTTTCACCTTTAGTTGTTTTTTTTCAAGGCTGTCACTTTTATTTAGTCAGGTTTCTCTCTTTAGTCTTGTAATGACATAACATATTGTTCCCTTTGTCTCCTGTTTTATCTGCTGGTTAATTTGCTGTCCTTGTCACATTCCTGTTCTCATGTCGTGTTGTGTTGAGGTAGACATTATTCCTCTGTGGTTAAATATTTATTTCCTGGCTTGATGTTTCAATACAGTGCATTCAGTGGCACTTCTAAAGATAGACACTTGTCCCTTCTTAGAGCCAACCCGAGACTGCGGTCTAAAATCATCCTCATGACTCATGAATACGTACGTGCTGCTTGTGTCCACATAGGGATATGTCATTGTTTTGTGTTTGTTGCTCAGTATTCGGAGGATATCGCTCTCTGTCTCACTCTAATAGCTAGAATTATGCTCTTTGTATGGAATCTCTGCCATTATATGATATTTGTTTTGCTGTTTTGATAGCTGTCCTCTCTGCTCTCACAAATTGGCAGTGCCTGTTTGACCCTTTTCTCCTTTTGTTTTGATATGCTCCGTTATGGAAAAGTGTTTCATCTGTGGCCTGCAGGGATTGCGACTTTTTTTGTTTTGTTTTTTTTAGTCATTTTATTTATTTTGTTGCACAAGTCATCCATTTTTACCGACCAGCAGAAGAGAATGGGCTTATTTGTAAAATGTTCACAAAAAACATGATCACAAGATCTGCTTTTGTTGTGTAAGAGGATTTATTGTTTCCCCAGATTTCTATGTTCTTATAATACAAACTGTCTTCTGTTGTTATTTTTCTCAGTATGATGAGCTGGTGCCTGCCTCTCTGACCACAAAGCTGGGGGGATTTTACATCAACACCGGTACGCTGCAGTTCAGAGCGGCCTCCGACTCTGAGGGAGAGGAGGACAAGGTGAGACTATCTCAACACGTTCATAACGAAACGATAGTAACATAAAGCAGTTAATATCCAGCCGGGCTACAACTCACAGTTATTTTTATTGTTGATCAATCCTTCAGTTATTTTCTTGATTAATTGAATAGTTGTTTGGTCTATAACATGTCAGAAAAGTGTGAAAAATGTAGCTCTGTGTTTCCCAAAGCCCAGGATAATGTCCTTAAAATGTCTTGTTTTGTCTGCAACCCATAGATATTTAGTTTACTGTCAAAGAGGAGTAAAGAAACCAGAAAATATTCACATTTAAGAGCTGGAATATTGACTTTTTTCCCCAAAAAAAATTCTCAGACTGATTGATTATTAAATTAGGTGGCTCTATTATACAGCTTTTCAAACTCATATTCAAGCCCGGAAAAGACATGGAAATGGATATATATATATATATATATATGTGTGTGTGTTGTGTGTTTGCTGTTGTCTGAGAAGGTACAGTGCTGGGGAAAGAATCTCATCTTGGGTACAATAAAGTGGAAGTCTGTTTTAAATCGATGTTGATTCAACTTCATGGACATTTTGGAGGATATAGTTTGTAGTGCTGTTAAAGTGTACTGCATTATACAGAGAGATCAGGGGATTTTTTTGTTATTTAGTGTACGCTCAGTGGTGGGATGGACAAAATAATAGACACCTGTCNTGTATATGTATGTATATGTATATTAATTTTAATTTTGTTGTTTTTTTTCCCATGAATTACATGCTACTATAAAAGATGATGAGCATACACAAACTCCAAGACTTATTTCCTGTATGGTTTGTTATGTAAAACTAGCAAAGATGCAGAAATGCAGGTGGCTGGGAAACATCAGGGTACCAACAGCAACAAACCAACACAATACATGCATATATTATCACCATTGAAATTACTTCAAGTCAAAAATTCAAGATTTTTTTTTTTATTTCATACAATAACAAAAACTAGGATGATAAGCTCATACCTTCGAATGTTTGGAAAACCAGAATTATTATTTTGATATGCTAAGGTAGCTTACTCAAATTTGTTGCACTACAGAACCCAAAGGATCAAGTATCCTCGATGGAAATATATAAAAGATAAGAAAATGATACCTTTAATCACACAAGTGCCAGTGGTTAGTTGGTCACTAGGACCAATACTTTGGTCCAGATGGAAATATTTCAACCACTTCTGGGTGGTTTGGTACAGAATGTTGCACATTACACATTTACATTTCTTGGAGGATAAATCCCTAATTTTCGTGACCTACCCTGCCAGTTAGCATATGTTGGTGTGCTAACACACTAAACTAAGATATTGACCATGGTAAACAATATACCTGCTTAACATCAACATGTTGGCATTGTCATCATGAGCATGCTGATGTTAGTGTCCAGTTCAAAACACCACTGAGCCTAATTACAGCCTCACAGTGCTGCTAGCTTGGCTGAACACCTCCCACTACTCCCAAAACAACACGCTGATAACCGTGGACTAATGGTCATAGACGTGAAAACATCTATATTACATTTTATATCCGACTCTCATTTCGATATATAATATGGTTACTAACATTTGGCACATCCCATTGTTATTGCAACATATGACACAGCAGGATCTCAACAGTCCTAATGAAGCACATGAACGTCCTTCCAACGGGAGCTTGATTTTCATTGGTTTTAGCGATACATGATGTAGACGTTATCTTTCACCACATCAAGAGAAATCTCTGAAGGGCATACTGGTGCACACTCACTCAAAAACACACACACACACACACACACACACACACAGCACAGCATGTGTTCCTCATACAGAATCGATCGTTTTTCACTGTGCACTGTCGTCTTCTGCTTAGTTGAGTTAAGGCGTGTTTGTGCTTTCGTTTCAGAAGCCGACTGACAACAAGGAGCAGGTGATTAAGAAGAGGAAAAAGAAGGAAGTGAATAATCTGGAAGAGAAGAACCTGAAGAAGAACAGAGTACCGAAACAAGGGTGAGAATCATGGCACTATGATATTACTGAATTTTTGTGGTTGTCTTGTGTCAGTTGGTGAAGTTACACTTCTGCATGTAAGGGATTTTTGGCTGTATGGTAATTAAGAAGCTGAATGAATGGCTCATGAGTAGCTGATCAAGCTGCCTTGTCTCTCGTAAAGAGTCCATCACTTTCCATGCATCTGTAAAATAGATCTAAAAAAACATCCACTTAGTCAAGTGATTCATTACAGTTAAGCCAAGCTGTTTAAAAATGTCACACAGACGCTGTTATGTAAAGGGACGTGTTTATCTCCTGTGCTTGAAAAGTTGACCTTTTGGACACCCGTGGATCTGTGGGGCACTGTGAATATGTGATGACGCATTTGTTCACTCTTTACTGTGCTAATAATCCACCACCCTGTGTGACATTATACTCCTGGGCTTTTGTGCGGGTCCTCTCATACATCTATCATGAGGCAAGGATGCTGACTGCGACTTGCTCTTAGTTGCCAACCGCCTTCCAGAAAACGCCCCGTGATCCGTGCTCGGATAGGCCGAATACTCCAACATGCTGCCATTCTGAAAATAACTTCCAGAAATAGCAGCAGCTATTGCCATTGTGCCATTATGAAAGAGATGATGTTATATATGTGTGTGAGTGTGTGTGTGTCAGATCTTCAGACTGCAGGTTAATCCCGCAGAATCCCCACAGTTCCTCTTCCCACGTTCCTGAGTCGTCTTTGTCAGCATGTGTCGATGCCTCGGTTTCTCAGGGAAAATGGCTCTCATTCCTCGCATGGGTTTCTTTTGTTTTTCATCTTGCGCTTTATACCTCCGCCTACGTATTTTTTGTCCTTAAATGTAACTGAAATTGTCTTTGTGCCTTATTAGGATGTCTATCTCAGATTTGTTCAGCAGTTCAGATATGTCCTCTGTTGTGCCTGTTTATGGTTGTTTCAGTCAACCAGTCAGAGCTGACTAGGCAGGACTAAGAATGAGGATATCATCCTCCTCCATAAATGAAAAATAGCAAAAGAAAAATGGCAACAATAGTGGATGAGATCGATGCAGCTGTTGTTGCAAGTTGACTTACAGAAATACTTAATAATCTCGTACATGTGAACATGATATCCACGAAGGCTGAGTAATATGAAGAAAATCAAATATCACATAATTTTTGACCGAATACATAAATATTGATGTTGCGATGCTATTGAGTATTTGCGCTTCCACAAAATATTTACATCTAAATTTTAGATAAATAGACATCAGTAATGTGGATATAATGACTAAGTGGGTAAAGGCGAATAATAGAACAGCTACAACAGCGTGCTAAGTTCAGTTAATTACGTCAATTTACTGTAATGCAGCCTTTAAAACAGGACAACACTTATGATATTATGATTTACAAAATCTAAGACCTCGTCTCATATTGTAATATTGATTTAATATTGATATATTGCCCAGCCCTAATATCTATGTGCAACATCAGATATAGATCGGGCTGCTGTGGCTCAGGAGGTCGAGCAGGTTGTCCGCAAATTGGAAGATTGGTTGTTTGATCCCTGATTCTTTTAGTCCACATGTGGAAGTATCCTGTCTTCTAAACCCCAAATTGCTCCTGATGGTTGTGTGTGAATGCGTGTGAATATTTAGACTGAGTAGCAGGTGGCACCTTGAATGGTAGCCTCGGCCACCAGTGTGTGAATGAGTGTGTGAATGGGTGAATGTTTAAAAATGCTTTGAATGGTCAGAAGACAAAACTAAAAAAGGCACTATATAGGTTCAAGGCCACTTAAGTCCACATTAGACTCTTATCCCCTCCATAGCCACTATTTTCGATTAACGTCTTCACATCTGTCTATATGTGCTATATTAACGCACATCTTTTTGGACTACTATCTGCTTTTATATTATACTGTGAAGTGCACTGCTGTGCACATCCCCCAGAATGGGTTAGTGCATATTTTTGCCTAGGTTTTTCGTTTTAAATGATTATATTTTAAATGTGCATATTTTAAAAAAAATTATTGTATTTTTTTCTGTTCGACATTTGTTTTTTGTCTACACATTAAAACACCAACGCAAATTTTTTATATGTGAAAACTTACTTTGCAGTAAACTGGATTCTGATTCTGATACCCTCGTTTCAAAAACCTGGATAAAGACTTATCCCAGTTTTGAGAAACCTGCTACCTGGAGTTCTCTGATAGAAACTGGGACACTGTGGCCGTCTGATCATTCTCAGTTAGTACAGAATATAGTGACTGAGATGTGGAGGATTCAAGACACAGCTACACACAGATTATCAGAGAAGTGAATACTGTTATAACCATGTGAACGGGGATAACCAGCTCTGTCATGTTCCATGTCATCATCATATTCTAAATAAGATCAGAAGCTGTATACTAATGTGCCTGTAAGTGTACTGTGTGTCAGGCTGAATGAATGAATGAATGATGTGAAACTAAATGCTGATGCAGTCTGAGGCACTATATCGCCGTTCATCCAAAACATGCACTAAGCGTTTTGTCATAAACAGGCATTGCTGTGCTTTCCTCCAACAGTGTAACAGCCCTCAACCTCCACCGGCCGGAGAAGAAGAAGAGGAAGAAGCTGATGAAGGACTCGCTCTACCTGGCGGCCATGCTCCGCCGCTTCACCCGGGAGAAGGAGGAGATGAGGAAAAGAAACCCTAACATGGCTCACCCCGGCTTGGCAGGAAGCATGGCTAACAAACTCCACTCCGCCAACTCAACGAACCACCTGTTAGCCTCCAACTCCACCCACTCACAGGGCAACACAGCCAGCAACGACCTCTCACTGGCAGACCTCACCTCGGACCCTGCTGTGATGTCACTGCTGGGCTCAGCCAACGAGAAGGAGCTGCAGGATCTCCTAGGCGACCTGGACTTCGGCTTGTTGGACACTGACCAGCAGCACGCCATGGTGGCTGCCAGGGAGAACGGCATTCTGGGAGTCGGTGTTCCGGCTCATAAAGCAGCAGCAGCAGGAGGAGGTGGCCAAGGGCGAGGCCTGGGGTCTTCCAGCGGACTGTTTTCTCCGCCTCCGCTGCCTGATGGACTGCCTGCTCCTCTTATTAAACGCATCGAGGACCTGCGGGCGGTGAGTCAACCGTAGCCCGTCTGTGGGCGGCTGCAATTACCTGTGAAGCCTCTTTGCTGAAGTTAAACACAAATGCCCATAATCTCAGGAAGTGGCACAAAATGTTTATTGTTATTGTTTAGTCCAACGAGAATAGTCTCTTCTAAAGCAGTGGAGGAACATGGCTCCAAGCTGAACCCTGAGGGTTTTTATGTAACCGAAACAGCAGGGTCGGCCTCGCTGCCTTTGAAGAAGTTCTTATTTTCTTGTTGCTTGTATATCTCACAGTCACAGAGTCCATCCGTAGCAGAGAATTGTTTTTCTAGGTGTTGGTAAAAATGTAAAGAGAGGCAGAGAAAGGCAATTGAGCAGGATGATTCAAGTGAAGTATACAGAGGTGAAGAAGAGTGAGGAGGAGGAGGGAGGCAGAGAAATAAATAAAGAAATGGATTTCTTTGGTTGCTTCCAAAGATAACATATGGGGGGAAAGCTCGAGAGAGTCAACATTAGTATTGAGTATTTTCTTGAATTCGTTAAAGAAAGTGTCACTCTAGTCCAGGGACGCTGGAAGTCAGTGAGACTTCTGTATAATGACGTAAAGGCCAGAATAATTTATATTTAATAGTTATTAGCATCATGTTTTACACTACAACAGACAGCAAACTTAAACACCGATATACTTCATGTCGAAGCAGCCAGAGCAACTACACAGTCAACAGCACAGATCTAATGCATGAGAACTGTAAGGAGAGAAAGAGTGAGTGAGGCAGTGTTAATACAGGCGAGAGGTGTGACCCATAGTCAGGTTATTATAGTTTATATTAATGCAGGACAGTGAGGATACAGCCCTTTCATACAGGACACATTTCATATAGGAGGCAAGCATGGATCTACCGATACGTATTCACCCCACGAAGGCTCATGTGAGACAGCTGTCAGTCTCAGTTTTAAAAAAGACTCCACTTTGCAGTGTAGTTCAGTAGGCCTACAGAAAAAGAGGGGGGTGTTGGGTTAGAAATCCTCTGGTACTTGGTACTGGAAAAATAAAGCACAAACTGACAGTCACTGACATTAAAGCAGTTTGTTAAACTATACTTAAACATATAGATATGAATAAATACAAAATGCTCTTTACAAAATCACATAAAAGGTAAAATACAACAAAACTATAGTAACTTAATGCTGAATAATGGATACAGAACTAATCATCTTCCTGGGGAGACTCAGCAGCCAGACTCTACTTCCATTATCTGTTTAGGAGCGGCTGAAATCGTCACTAGCTAGCTAGCCCACCTTAAGGTCCAGACAGATCACCTTAAGGGAGGCTACCTTCGCTGGCTAACTTCTGGTGCACCGTTTACAGTTAGATCAGCAGATGACAAGCAAGACATAGAAATTTGGCTCAGTTTCATACTCTCTGCTCCAGATGCCTCAACCTAACTGTCACTCATCACTGTCACACTCTCTTGCTCTCCCTGGCACCTAAACGAGGCACCGAAATCTGTGTTGTGAGTTTTTCTAGCGGGCACTGGTTGCACAGGAACTGGTACTACATTAGCACCAGCTTTTGGTATCCAGCCTTACTCAGCACCACCACTTATAGAGTCAAACTACAGGTCAAGTGACCAAGGAAAAAGCTGGCCTGTTGGTTCTTGTCTGTTTTGCATTTAGACTGACATTTTACACATAAACCAAGAGCTGTGAACATGAAGTCAAACAGAGCAACAGGACAGTTTTGGTGACTGTCTTCCTGCATTATCAGCTCTATGTAGAGAAAACCAAATTCCAGCAACAGACAGCAGATCATACAGCACTTTAATGCCTCTTAGGTGATTATTTTTCTTAGCTTGTGGTCACACAAGTTCACAAAGAAATAGTTGATTATGAGCATTATTCGCCAAGACTGCAGCTGCACCTCATATGTCATAAATGGACAGATAGAAACAGGACAGAAAAGAGCCATTTGTTTGTTTCTCACTTTTTTAATTGAGGAACTGACAATTCAGATTAGAACACAAGCACAACACACGCTGTTGTAATGAGTTCACACTGTCTGATTGATCAGGGAAATTTTGTGCACTCCCTTGCTGATGGTGTTAACACCATGCCAACCACATCACATTGTGTATACGTATTGCATATACAGACTGGGAGATCCTCGAAGGTTCTTGTGATCAACAGGTGGATTTAACTGTAGTGTATCTTTTTAACTCATGCTTAAATTACCGCTTGGAAGATATGTTTGTTTAGTCTACTCCAGAGTTCAGTTGACATCTTTCACACCAGCCAAAGTGAAAGGGCAAATTAGGTAGAAGCGTAAAAAGCATCCTTAGAAGTTTATGGTTAGAATCAGAGTAAGGAGAGGGGCAGTGTCAGGTAGAGGACGAAATGTGTTTCTGTCAGTACAACCCCATCAAAGGCACAGCATCACAGATATATGTATATGTATTTGTCCTGTATGGAACAGTGCTGGTATGCTGACTAAACCTTTTCTCCTACAGGCCTCGCGGCAGTTTGATCAAGAGGGCAGGAAGAAATTTTTCACCTTGGACATGAATAACATTCTCCTGGAGTGAGTAGGACAGCTTTTAAATCACCGTCAGCCAAATCCCAGCTCATACTCCTCCTCCCTTTCAGTGTTTCTCACTCATTTTCAGCAGATTTCCCTCGCCACCTCTCCTGCTGTCTTAAAGTGTTTTGTTTTCCCTGCATGTCTCATTGTCTGTGTTAATGACATGCTTCTCATTTCCATTACTCTCTCTTGTGCCATCATCTTTATGTTCACCCTCCCCTCATTCTGTGCAACTACCCTTTATTCTTCCCCATCCATTACTTCAATCTCCCATGTCTGTTTTATTCTGTCTGTCTGTATCCCACCATGTTTGTCTCCACCGCCATAACTGTTCATCTCCTTGATTTTTCGACCCGTTCTGTATTTCACAATCTTGATTTTTTTTTTTTCTCTCCCTCCTCTTCCTCCTCTCAGCATTGAGCTGCAGGTGCAGGAGCAGCCTCCTGAGGTGCGCTCAGGCATCTACTCGCACATGGAGGCGTTTGTGCCGTGCAACAAAGAAGCCCTCCTCAAACGCCTGAAGAAGCTCAGTCTCAACATTCAGGTGGGTGAGGCTCATCTGTGGAGGGAGTGAGAAATTACCTCATTTTAAATTGATCTAGAATCTGATTCAAAAAGTCTTTCCCACCGCAGCCTTTTTGATTGCTCTGTGTTTATTAAAAGCCAGATTCAGAAAGGGCTGAAGCCTCTGTACATGTACACTATCAAACCTAATCAGAAAAAGTATTTTCAACTGAGAACAGGACTCACAGAAAATCATAATTGATGCCCTGAAATTAAAATCACATCAGTGTCTGAACTTCATGATTTAGGACGCTCTAAAGAATTAGTTTGCATCAAGTGTTGTCTGACCACATTTGAAGGCAATAGCTGCTGTTGAGGAGAGCGCCAAGATGTGATAATTGTGCAAAAAGGGTGAATGGCACACACTGTTGGACAGTCTCTTCTCTGAGGCATTCAGTGTTTCACTTGTTTGTACTCATGGGACGTGATAGGAATAGCTCTGTGGAGATTCATATCCAGTTTATTTTCATACCTCTGCACATCTGGCCAATCGCTGTGTGAGGTGGGTGTGTTCAGAAAGTTGTAGCCTAAAAAATGCTGGACACAGGCCTTATTCCCACTGCTGTGGAAGAGTTTTAGGGCCAGACATATGGAAAGAACCTTTTTTTATTGTGCATTACAAGAATAAAGCCGAAATGTTGAGAATAAAGTCACATTTTTTAATATTAGTGTCAGGAATAAAAAAATGCATTATAGGAGGTAGATTTTTTTTTTCTTGCATTTCGAGAATAAAGCGGAAATGTGAATAATAAATTTGACATTTCGACATTACAGTCCAGCTAATGAGAATAAATCAAACTACTAACGTTAGCACATATGGCTGCCTCTACACTGTGCCTAGTGTAGATGAATTGGTGAAACTGTACTTAGGAATCAGTTTGAGTAACAAGGAAAGTATTTCTCTTTTAGCACTTAAACACAATGTTGTGATAAATATTAGGACTTTGAACAGATTGTGCCTAAAATTGCTGCATCTGTTCAGAAGGAGAAAACACACGGACGTGGAAGTGGTGCCTTTATTTGTGAAAACTGAAATAGCTGGTAATGAAGAAATACAAGGGTATTGATGGTTATAAGTGCATGCATTACAGAGAGAACGAACTGTATCACAACACACAATTTGGTGGACCAGATGAGCTGACTTTATTCTCAGCATTTAGACTTTATTCTTTAAATTGTATTACAACTTCATTATCCAAATTTTTTTAACGATATTCTCTCTATTCTTTCTCTGATTTACTTTCTTCCTTATGCCTAGCCCTGATACTCTTTTGTAAATGTCAGTGCTCCATAACTTTCAATTTTTTTTGCAGCATCTTATACTTAAAGCAGAGTCAAATCGTTGAAAATGCAGACTGTAACCATGTAATTAAAGCTGGACTGTCATGCAAAGAAAACAACTATTATAAAAATGTCATTGCTCGACATAAAAGGAATGGAAAAGGAATATAAATTGATTCTCATATTAATGTTGTAGATAAGTTAGAAATGTATGTGCAGGGAAAAAATAGGTCCATATTCACAGTCACCTTGTAGCTGATTCAGGGCAAAATCACAACTGAAACTACGAATGTTCGCATTTTAATTCTTTTTTGATCCTCTTTACACCTTTGAACTGACTTGGATACTGTATGAGATTTGTACCTTGTTTTTCTACAACCCACTTCCTGTTTGCGTTTCTATTTTTATCACATCACACCAAGGATTTTTTATAGGTCCTTGTGGCTTATTTACACACTCATGTTCATGTGTGACCAATAAATTATTTGTGTTTTTTCATAATGAACAAATCAGGGAAGCAACTAAATATGATTTTAAGGTTTTCCTTCAAACTCTGTTTTCTAAATTTACAGCTATGTTTTTGAGACTGTGACCTGCTTTTGTCTAAATCTGATCCTCTAGTTTCTCCACATTATTTGTGCCTTTTCATATAGCGTTAAATCCTCAGCCATCTTCACTTCTCCAGTCGTTAATGTGCAGGGATCTCAGTATAGGTTGACTAGTGCGATGAGGACTGTCACTGAAAACAGGTTTCTAAATGTGTTTGGTCATGGACCATTAAAGTAGCATTGTTGACAAAATACATCAACATACTCCCCCGCTCTCTCCCTGTTTGACTCTTCCTATTGACGTCCCCCCTGCCTCTACATTTTTTTTCCTCCTCTCCTTCCCTCACCATCTCTGACTTCAAGTTTCTCCCTCAAACTTTTTCCTTCATTTTCATTCCTGTTCTCCCTCTGCCTCGGTCTGTCCTTAATACAACCACCCTTTGTCTCTCTTTCAGGATGATCGCTTACGGACACCGTTGTTAAAGCTGAAGCTGGCGGTGTGTAGCGTGATGCCAGAGCAGATAGCCAGATACAACATGGACTGCATGGCCAAGGTTGCAAAGTAAGTACCTTTTCTGTTTCAGAAGACGTGCAAGTACAAAGCTAAGCAGGTGAACTCAAACTAAAACCTAAAGACTTCTGATCAGGTTCTACTTTTATGGCTGTTCACCATTTTTACTAACCAAATCTATTAAAAGAATTACAGCTGGAGTCAGGGAGACATTTAACTGATATATTTTTAGACAGTTTTTTTTCCTGTAACTGGACACTCAGTCAGCATATACTTACAAGACCGCAGTAATCATTGGTTAGGTAATCCAAGTTTATTCAAGCTGTTTGTGAATGGGTGCGTGTATGTTTACATTTTACTAACTCTGTGTGTGTGTGTGTGTGTGTGTGTGTCTGACAGGCAGCAGTCAGAAGAAGGTGATAAGAACGGCTCAGAGGAGGAAGATGAGGAAAAACCCGGGAAAAGGGTGATAGGCCCGCGGAAGAAGTTTGTCTGGGATGACAAGCTCAGGTAATGATCAAGGATTGGATAGTGTGTTACGTGTTTGTGATGCTGCAGGTTTGACTTTGTATGCTGACTCATTTTTCTCGTTCCCTGTCCCTTCATGTAGGCATCATGCCTGTTTGTGTCCACTTAAAGATGGTTCAGAGTTGCTGGGATGGAGGAAAAAATAAGGCTTTGAAAGTTTTGACTATGTATTAGGGGGGAAATGGCAAACCTTGTCATGATTATTCCTCAGCTGTTTGGAATATTTAGGACTGTAGATTATGATGGGTTGTGTTCACTTCATCACCAAGACCTTTGAATGAGAACTCCACTTATTTTATTAATTCACACCTTACTTTCCAAAACCCAGCGCCTACATTACCCATTATGCAATGCTTTAAAGTTACAGAGGAAATGCCTGAATTTTATGCCTGTACAAATATGGAAACCCAGAGTAAAGATTTAATGTCCTAATGACATTACAAAAACCCCGAGACGGAATCACAGCTGCTTTTCAATCATAATTCAATTCCATAACGGCTTCCACATTTTCAGAAATGTGTTTTTACGAGGTCATAATTACCTCTGACTCCCTGCAGAGTAACCGTCTTCTCAGTCATTATGAGCCGAGCACCTGCAGCCTAATTTAGATTTTAATCGTGAATGATTTGTGTTGAATTGAACATTTGTGTTTGCGCAGGAACCTGCTGTGCAGCTTGGTGCGGGTGAAGCTGAGCTGCTACGAGATGGAGAACCAGTGCTCTCTGTCTGTGGAGGACTACCTCAAGGCCTTCTTAGAGAATGAGGTCAAACCACTATGGCCCAAGGGCTGGATGCAGACCAGGTCTGTGTGTGTGTGTGTGTCTTTGTTTTTCTGTGTGTGTGTGCGACTGTGTGTGTGTTCTTGTGTGTACGCAGCCTTTATATATAACAGCTGGTGAACAAATTTCTTCGTGGTGATAAGACAATTACTGAAAAGTCTCCAGGGTGAAAACAATGGAGTTAACCTTAAAACTAGGATTAAGTTAGAAATGACAACGGCGCATGTGTGTGAGAGAGATGCCAAGAGACAGAGCTCTTTACATATTTCTTTCCAGAGTGGCATTAGTTAAGTCTGTTGGTGAATCTATGCACTTTTCCCATCGAACAAAGTTTGTTGTAAATAGCAGTTCATCTTTTTTTTTTTTTTTTTTTTTTTTAGCAAATATAATCATTTATTACAAAAAAAAAATAGCCTAGTGTTTGAAGTTGAGAGGTTAGACAAGTTCTCTAAAAACATATTCTTCATGTCATGTCAAAGTGGACATAGCTGTTTCTGTGGCAACAGAAAACAAAAATTACGTTTGCAAGAATTAAAATGCTTCCACCTTGAATTTCCTCACTGTATTCTTTTGTCTATGTGAACCAGTATCTCCACGTACGTATCTGCTGCTCGTATGCAGCCTAAACACACTTTTTTTCTCAGCTGTCTCACGTTTTTTCCAACTTGATATCTTAAATAAGTTAATTGAAAAATCTCTCCTTCCAAGACATCACTGACCGTGGTCTTCATATAACTCTGGCGATGTCTGCAAATAAATTCACTTGAGAGATGTAACCCAACATTAATCCAGCCCTACTTGTCCTCTGGCATGAACGGTGTGTGTCTCTTATCGCCTTGTGTTTCCTCTGCTCAGGATTCTGTTCAAGGAGAGTCTTGCTGTTCACAGTCACCTCACTGGAAACCTGTAAGTGTTTTATTTTATCTCGCACAGCTCGTGTTTCCTCAATAACACTAACGACTCGGGGGCTTCTCAGGGACCGGGATTGAATGCAAAATGTAAATAAAGGAGGGTGAATATGTGCCTGCATTTTTCCATACAGTGTCAAGAGGAGAATGGTGCCTGGGCCCAAGGCCAAAGCCAAGGTGAGTGACAGCTCAGATCACATACTATATAATAACTGAAAATATCTTAATGCTTTTTTGTGGTGGGAGTTTTAAAGCCACAATAATAATTTAATCTGAACCCATTTACCAAACAGCATGCTGCCATAAAGTATTTCCTGGCTGCTAGTTATCGTATTTGCTCAGTGTTTGATGTCTCGAGTCGTATTTTATTATTTCCATGCTGGAGGGTTGTTCTTATCTTTCTAACTCTCATATAAAAGCAGGTATTCAAACAATAGCCCGGGGCTTAGCCAACACTACAAATAAAGGCTGAGTAAAAAAATCTACCACAGCTCACATGGCAATTTTAGTATAACATGCATTTCCACAGCACAGAGTCCTGCTACACTTACCACTGGACAGCTCCGAGTTTCACTTGTTAAACAGAAGTAATGTTTCATAACTCTGAGTAGTTTTTTCTTTGCCATAATCCTGATGAGTGTTACAATACAGTCAATAAAACTCAACATTTCCTGATGCTTTTTCACATTAAAAACCTTCCTGGAAAAGGAAGCTGCAAGACTTTCTGCCCCACTTAGATCTTTATTGGCAAAACATTTGCAACATTAAAGAACGACAGTAACAAAGAACAAAAAAATCCCATATTTTCTGTCCTATAATACAGTCCTGTTGATGGATTGATTTGCTGCTTCGCTCTGATTTTGCCATTTTGAGTCTTGTGTAATGTCTGTTGCATTCAAGATACAGTCAGCAACGTTTATGAAAATAACTTAATGTCATATTTGCTGAAACTGTCAGTATATTCTGAAAGAAGTACATGAGATAATATGTGAAAAAATCATGTCCTTCCTCCTTTTCCTACTGCATCTAATGGTATTCGCTAGAGTCAGACCACGGTCAGCAACAATCAATCAGAGCTGAGGAGTCTCTAATGTACCTGTCAATCATGTCAGTCGCTGAACAAATATGAATCAAGATTCTTTTACCGCATTGCCTGTTTCTCACCTCAGATGTTTTCAGAAACATATTTTAGTGTACCGTTTAGCTGTAAAATGAGAAAGTTGGTCCGGCTAGTGGGCATTGCTTGGTACTCCTGTTTAACTGTATCAAACATGGCGGCCGGGTCACAGACTTTTTCATGTTACAGCTAAACACTAAAGTATGATTTTGAACATTTGTGGTGACAAATAGGCAATGCAGTAACAGAATCATGATTAATATTTGATCAGCGCTGCTTAGTTTGACCACAGTTTATGAGCAGTGATTGACAGCTGCATCAGAGACTCCTCGGCTCTGATTGGCTGTTTTCATTTGCATCCATTATTATTAATGGCCTTACTGCATGTAAGGCCATTAATAATAATTAATGCTACAAAGCAATAGAGTAGGCAGAGAAATATGATTTTTATTTTATACAAATTATCTCTCTTATTTAGTGCTGTATGAATATTTTACAGGTTCAGCAAATACAACACAAGTTTTTGTACTGTAGCTTGAACTGAGGAACAGCGGACATTAGAAAATAGCGGTCTGGTTCTCTCTGCGTCTCTGACACTGATCATGTGTTCTCTGTTTTTTAGGAGGGTCTTTGGATCCACAAACAACCTCTCACCATGACCTCCACCTCGTCTTTACCCACCTCTGCATCTAATCTGACCTCCAGCCGCCAGCCCCCCTCCTCCTCCTCGCCCCCCATCTGTCTGTCAGACTCACTGGATGAGGATCTGACTGCTCCCTCTCTGGACTCCATCTCCCACGCTCTGGCCCTCCTCAGCAACGCATCTAAGGGCCTGGGCCCCTCAGACAGTCCCTTGTCGCCCCCACCCCTTCAAATCCCCACCTCCTCTCCTCCGCCTGTCACCCCTCACTACCCCTCAGCCTCTCAGCTCTCTGCCTCGGTCGCATCCACAACGCAGCAACATTCCCTGTCTAAGGTGGAGGCTGCTACGCTGGCAGCTGTGTCTGCTGGGAACTTGCCAACAACAACAACAACAACGCTACCAACCTCCTCTTCTACCTCCTCTTCCTCGTCTCCCACTGTTTCCTCTTTGGCTCGTGTGCAGGCAGCTGGCCTGTCGCTGGCCTCCAGGACTGCAGATGGTTCCTACAGCCTGATCAAAGGATCTGGCACCATGGGCCAAACCCAGACTCAGAGACTTGTTACCATGGCATCACCCAATCACAGGCCAAGCTTGGTGATGGGCGGGAGTGGCAAGATGCATCCACACCCGTCCCCGTCGCCTCCGAAGCAGCGGCCTCCTCCCACGGCTTCCCCTCTGCTGCCCCCCCATCAGAAGGGCTTTGTCAGCCCGGGGGGGATGCTGGGAGTTATGGGAGCCCCTCAAGGACTGGCAAAGAACAGCACCAAAGCCAGCAGCATCAGCAGCAACGGCAGCGTGAGCAGCAGCATCACGCCTTCTTCCTCCCCCTCCTCACTGTCCCGCTCCAATTCCAACACCCATCCTAGCCTGCAGTCCTTCTGCCCTCCCTCCCCGGTGGCCTCCTCGCCGTCCCCCACCTCTCATACCTCACACTCCTCTCAAGGTAAATCCCACACACACCACCACCACCACCAGCCCAACTTCATCACGCCCATGCAGGCCACCCTAACCAAGTCCTCCCACAGCAGCAACTCCTCTCCCATCATCAAGCTCACCCCTCGGCCCCCTGCGCCCACTCCACCTCCCTCCTCCTCCCCCTCCCCGTCATCCTCCCCGTCACACCCGCTCTCCCATCAGATGATCCCCGGCCAACAGCAACAACACCAGTACTCCGCCAAATCCCCCAAAACTTTCCGCCCCCCCTTCAGTGTATCGGGTAGTGGGCAGGTGAAGCAGACGCAGGGCAGCTTCAGCTTCGCCGGAGGCCAGAAAGCTCAGTCCACCACGAGCAACAGTAGCATCAACAACAACTCCATTAATAACAAGGTATCAGCTGTCTGCAGTCGCCCAGACAAAACTCCTGCCTCTCCTGCACCTTCAGTCTCAGCCAATCACGGGCAGAGGCAGAGGGTGGTGGGCGGGGCTAACCAGAGCTCAAAGGCAGGAAACGGTTGGGCGGCTTCAGGAACTTTGGCCACGTCCTCCACAACGTCACACCTCTCACAGGTTAGTTTCTTTTTGATATTTAGCTTCCCCCTTAAATGAACAATGGAGTCACAGGTCTGACCAGTTTTTTATTGCATCTTGTTTCTGCAGGTATCAACAGCAGGCACTTCCCTCCTGGGCAGCCCCTCTGGTCTGCCCCTGGGCTTTGGGATGTTGGGAGGCCTGGTGCCCGTCTCGCTGCCCTTCCAGTTTCCCCCGTTGCTCAATTTCAGCCCTCCTGGAGCCCCAGGGGTCGCTGGCATGGGCTCAGCCCCCAGCTCCAACTCAGGATACCCTCTAGCACAGAGCGACCTAATGGGTGAGTGGGCACACTCACTTGTGAAAGCATGATTTGTCGCTTAACATTGATTAAAAGGAAAAAAGGGGGAGTAATATTTGTGATTTTAGTCCAAAAACAAAATAATTAAGGGGGAAGCTCTGTTTGGTCCTTTCACAAAACACATGCAGCAATATAAAGGGACACAAAACTGACAGTTAGAAACACATTGGCTTCATTATTTTAAAGGTTAATGTTGGTGATATACTATAATTGTTATTGTTGAAATATTCTGTAAATAGAGCAAAACCAGCAATGTGTCAGTCAGTCTGTTAGTACTCTTTGGTTTCCCCACACTGTCTGTAACAATCAGGCCACTGATTCCTTCTCATGATGTGAGGATCTTTAGAAGACGGGTAATAAATAAATAGTTTGATTTTTAAAAATGTCGTTCATCATGTCATATAATAGCTAGGCACTGTTGTTTAGCAAACATCACTTTAACAGGATTAGATTTGTTAGGGACTATTTTCTGTCACAGATTAATACACATTTGGATAACAAGTACGTCTTTATGGCAGCAGATCAACTCAAACTGTTCATGTGTTTTAATAGTTTTGCACAACAATGCAGCTCTGTGGCATAGAGTAAAAACGTATATGTTTGTTTACCTTTTTATAGTCTTTAAAAACATTTTCCCCCTGATATTTAGATCAGTGTTTTTGAGTGTATTCTATTTTTGTACTGCTTTGTTTTAATGACTATCTTATATATCTTATATTTCAATATACAGCTGAAAATACCCTTGTGGAGCAGGTGCTGAATGATTAATGGTTCTTGTATCAACATTGCAATCTTAAATAATGTAATATTCATATTTATTAACATCACTTTACAAGCTTTAAAAGTTTAAAGACACCAGAGTCGAAGGGCTGCTTTTTACTTTTCAGCAAACACAACTGTAGCCTGAGGATTTAGTCAGCTGTAGCTGTGCAGTTTGACGACCTTAAAGGGACAGTTCACCTCCAAAATCAAAAATACTTTTTTTCTGTGCATCTACTCATAGATGAGAGGCTCGTGCTTGTAACTGGCAGGATGTAGACATTAACGGTGTTCTCCTTGGCTGAGCTGTAACATTAGCTTGCTCAGTGGTGTATGTATTTTAAATTTTTGGATGAACTGTCCCTTTTAAATAATCATTAATCATTCAGCACTTTGTGAAGCAGACTGAAGAGGATGTGTACATAAGGCAAGATATGTGTGAGACGTAAGGACATGTTAGCAGGAATTAACTAAGAAAGTGACACATATTCAGTGTTTTAATTTTAATTCCAGCCTGGTGTATTATTATTTATGTGTGTGCGCTCATATTGAAGTGTACCAGCAGCAGTCTCTCCCCTGTGCCTGCTGTGCTCCTTATCTCTCGCCCCATCTCCATTTTGTTTTATAAACCACTGTCTCCTTCCTTTGTTCTCACCATCTTTTGTGTCCATCTTTGTCATTTCCACCTTTTGTACCTTGCTGCCACCTCACTTTGATCCTCTCCTCTCTTTTGTTGCTGGTCTTCCATTTTAACATGCCCCCCCTCCCTCTCCTCTGCATCACCTTTTCTATGTTCCCCCTTATTGTTGTTGTTGTTGTTGTTGTCTTCCCTCTCATCTTCCCTCCATCTCTCCTCAGATCTGTATAAGAGTCTCCAGTCAGGGTCGCAGGCTGCCCTACCTCCTCACTTGCAGCTTGCTTTCTCAGGTAATCTGCATTCCTCCTCCTCCTCCTCCTCGTCCTCCATCTGTCTGTGTCAAGTCGACCTGTCGTCCTCTGCTCGGCTGATGCGTTGTTTGCTCTGTAACTTTCTGCCTGCTTCAGTATATTTGGTGTTTAGCATGCGTCTGGTTTCTCCTCTGTAGTTGCAGTGCAGTAGACGCATGTTATGAAGCTACTGACGTTATTCAGAGATGTATTGTTGTTTCAGTAGTCTGACGAATACACAGTGAGGATTCAGTTTCTTTCTGGGATGTACAGATGGTTCTTTGATTTGAGAGCAGCCGTCTGGTTAACAAGTCAAACTGCAGGGTGTGATGTGGATAAATTATAAAAAGAAAAAACATCTCTTAGGGATGTGGTTTGAAATGATGTCGACCATGAATGTATGCAGCTTTATCTATGGCTGGATTCAGTTGTATTCATAGCTGTAAACTTGAAGCACACAGTCCAGTCTCACCTGGATTATTCATGGCGCTCAGGTCAAAGAGCCATCTGAACATCTAAAGCAGGAGACACAAACTGAAACACAGCTCATCCTGTTTGACAGCAGCCTGGTGCACCAGCTCACCGTGTGATCAACCACAGACTCCACACTGAATATTATTTACTTCATTTGACACCTAAGCCAAAGTCTGTGTTCAGTTACACCTCTGAGGTTAAAAAGTGCCTGTTAAATAACCAAGTATTTCCTGTCTGCAGCAAACCTTAATATTTAGTCTCCTGTTTATATAAGAAGGACACAATCAGGTATAAAACACATGACCAAGGTAACGTTACAAAATTTGGCTCCATTACAACTCACAAGGTTCACCAAAAAAACAACGGTCCTATACAACCCGTTTTCCAAACAAATATAACATGCTAATGTTATTAGCACAAGCCTATGGCATTTTACATTCTATACATTAGCCTAGCGACGAGCGGAGATCTACTCCGCTCGTATGAAGCCAGGATAAATCATACACAAGACTTAAAATGCTATTTTGTGGAGGCTTTATTATCTCCACAATTTGTTGTTTCTTATCTGTGAAATTAAAGTAAATAAAAGCTTTGTTTCCACTGAGTGAAATGGTTTCAGCTTACAAAAATAGACAGGAGGTCTGCGTCACCGCGACGTGTAGTTACATTTCTGGGGAGGCGCACGTCAGGCTACGGCATAGGGTTCAGCGTAGGCTCTACGTCGACACAGAGTCTATGGTGTAAGTATGCTGCCAATTCAACGCAGAAGTATAAATTCCATCTAACCCATAGACATCAACAGCTATTTGACTTTGCCCCTAAAAAGCAGCGAGTGTAAGGTTGAAGCTGTTGGCTGTACAGCCTGACAAATACTGGATTTCTGAGACCATTATGAGTACTGAAGAATTAAAAGTATCTCTCCATCTACCCATCTGGATAGATAATAAATTTAATATGTTATATGAGAATTGGGAAGATTTTTGCTGTAGGATATTGTTTTTTCTGAAGTTTTATATGTCAACTGATGCATCGAGAAAATGATAGATAACAAAAATAATCAATAGTTTCAGCTAAGGCTGGGCTAGGGTTGTCCTGATCACATTTTTTTTGCATCTGATCCGATACCGAGTTCTTTATTTTGAAACCGAGTCCGATCCGATACTTTGCAAAGCATTAAGAAAGAAAAAAAAGAATGCATCCAAGTTGTCCCGTAAGGTTTGTTTTTTATTTAAATAGTATCCAAAAAGCTTATCGGTGGTTCAGCAGCACAAAATGTAAAACAAATTCTGAATTGTAAACAAATTGTCCCTCCAGAGTTGCCATAGGGCTGTGGTAGGTGAGGTTCGCCGTTAGGTGTGGCTGTGTTGCTTGGAATAAAGAGAAGCGGTGGCCGCTGAACCTGTTGTCTTGACTCCTGTCTGTTTATTGCTCATTAGCTGCACTCAGTTAGGCGAACCCAGGACGCTCGGTTACAATACATTGGAAAGTGGGATCGGGACATCCCTAAGCTGGGGAATATATCAATATTATATTAAAATGATATTTGACTAGATATGGTCTTTTGGGTGTTGTAATATCGTGTGTCTTCTTTTCCCTGTTTTTAAAGGTGATGTAATTTTCTGAACTTACCAGTTTTATTATTTGCCTTTAGACAGTCATAGTCAGTCTTAGTCATTATATCCACATTACAGATGATTATTTACCAAATATCTTATTGTGTAAATTTTTTCTGAAAGCACAAAAGTCAACCCAACATCATGACGATATCGAGGTATTTTGATATTTGATTTTCTCTATTTCAACCCAGCCCTAGTTTCAGCAAAATAATGACTCCGATATTAGCTTAAGGTGACACATGTTATAAAAAACTAATTAATATTAAAGTATAGTCATGATAACCAAGATTAAAAAAGAAAAAAAAAAAATTAACAAAAAAAAAAAAGAAAGGAAAAGAAGGATGATTAGCAGCCATATGGCCCTAAAAGGTGTTCAGAGTGGATCGGATTCAAAATTCTAACAATAAACTTTATTAATACAGTATGATAATAATATTTTGTTGTATACAGCACATAAAGTAACAAAATATTTTACACGGTTGAATGAACCAGGAATAAAACAGGGATGAAGTAGACAGTTAAACTAGAACACACAAATAAAATGGAAAAAATTCCCCCACAATAATGTGAGATAAAAACAATAATAAAACAGATAAGACATGTTGGAAATAAAAGTGTGCCAACATTAATGAAAAGATAAAATAATAATAATTTGTTTTAAGAAGTGATTTAAAGATGTCCCTAAAGATGTTGTAAAACGTTGAGGTGAAGCTTTTCAGTGTACGTGTGATACATTCAGATGATCCCAGAGTGTGTGGGAGGTTCAGATATTCAGCGTTGATCTGGTGCAAGAGGCTGTCGGATGATTTCCTGTCATCCAGATGTCAAAGTGTTAAAACTCTCCCTCCTCTCCCCTCAGATGCGAACCAAAGCCAGGGTGGAGACATGAAGAGGAAATCCCACTGACCAATAACTGCGCAGGAGGGTGACACCAGCGAGGTGGCATCACAGCCTCCTGGATACATCCACCAATAGGAATCTTCACTTTGACTGACACAGTGACGTGGTATGAGGGGGCGGGGCTCCACTGCCTCTTTTAAGAAAAAAAAACGGACCTAAAGGAGAATCAGTTTATCCTCGCTACAAGTGGCAACGATGAATTAATTTAACTGTATTTTCTAATGAACCGGGTATGAGAACAAGACGGAGTGAATGACGAGAACACTTTTTATTTTTATTTGGCTTATTTTTATTTTCTTTGTCAACATGTTTACATATGACCGACCTTGATCACTGTGGAATGAGTGTGAGCGAGGTGGTGGTACAGATGAGAGTAGTAGTACGCTACGTAATATAATTTGTATTTAAGCTTACGTTGAATAACAGGACTCTCGTTCTTGCAGTACAAAAAGAAAAAAAAAAAAACAGACTGAGTAATGAATTTTTATTTTTCTGTCTTTTTGTCTCAGATGTGGGAATCGTCGTGTCCGTAGAAATTTTATTGTTGGTCACCTCTGCTCCCACAAATGACTGTTAAGTAGTAGCTTAAATTAATATTGATAAATTATTTGTAATTTACACAGGGACAAAAACATGTTATGGTGTGTGTGTGTGTGTGAGAGAGAGAGAGCGATGATTTGAATGTGTGTATGTACATAAAAAAAACACAATATACTGTTAATTTCTTTCCAGATTATTCAGTATGAATGGGTAAAGACGTGTATCCCCTTTTCACAATAATGAGCGAGTGTAAGTTTGATGCCCCTCTCTCGCTCAGTGTGTTTTTGGTGCTGTTTAATCACACTGGACCTTTTCTGGAAAAAAGACTTGAATTGAAAAAGTTTTGGGCGCCTCATCTGACGAGGGGAGTCGCCTGTGAGAGAGGGGAGAAACGTCAAGACTGTAGCCTACTTGAATTGTTTTAGTTGTTTTTTGTTTTTTTTTTCTTGTGAGTTAAGACTTTTTTATTTACTTTCTCTGCTTATTGACTCAAACCAACTTAATATAACACAACGCCTTAGTTTGTATTGAAAAAGTATGAAAAGATCTATGCAGGACTGTAAAACGCTCAATGCAAAAGTGCAAGTCGTCGCTTGGCTTTCAACCTCTACTCAACTTGTCAGTGCATTTCTGGAGTTGTGAATGTTTGTAGATGTTTTTATGTCACTCGAGACTCTTTTTCTTTCTGGCGTGTGTTCAGACAGAATGCAAAGCGGAATTTACAAGTGGCAGATGCAAAATGATTCAACCTGAGTGAAAAAGTCGTGTCATATTAAGTGTGCTTTATTTATGAGCATTAAAAACCTGAGTGTGGAAATGCCAAAAATATTTTTAAAAACTCGAAATATCGCAAAAAAATTGTACGCTTGGGGGAGGTGGAAAAGTTGGTGTACTGATAACTAGAAACAGATTCAGTGGATAACTGATGACCTGCCGTCTTCGTCGTACATTGATGTGTCCACACAGGGCTGTTAACAGAACTCTTCCAGGAGCACATGGATTTGTCATATTAGTTGTAAAAAAACGTTCCCTGTCCATCGTCCAGTGTGCTCTCCATTATTATACGTCCATGGTTTCCTTTGTTTGAGGTTTGACTACATTAGTTCGCTACATTAAAATTTGCGCTATATTTGGACGGACACTGACTGTTATTGAAACCATCATTACGAGCAGCAGAGGGAGAAAAAAGTTTAATAGATGTCAGGAGTTTCTAACACTGATGATCTCTTCCTCTTGGGGAAAAAGACCTACACATGCCAGCAAACTGTTGGCAAAATGGTTGCAAACTGTGATGGTAAATATGCTGCAAAATGCGAGTCTGGGGAAAAAATTCTGAACCTGTATGTTCAAAGCTTTCACTCGTATAAAATATTGAACAATGTGAACTCGTATGGTGAAATTTTCACTCATAGAACTTGTTATCCGTTATTTACTTTTATTAAGCTTCATTTTTTAAGTCAGTTTTCCACTGCAACTTCACACATGTGCTCTCTTGCATCACAAAGTCACAAATCTGCACGTCTTTACTTTTGCAACCGATAAATTTGCTGCAAAAAACATTGGTTCACTCCCCGCTGCTCGCTGTTGCTTGAAAATAAAATCCAATAAAACCACTAATACAATTGTTTTAGCTCATTTTAAAGGGGCTATGTGCAGTTTGGATCTGGATTCAGATGGTAACGTGGGGCTAACCATCTTGGAATGAAGTGTGAACACTCCCAACTTGGAATAACAGATTTTTTCTTCCCATTCTGCTGACATCACCCAAACGCAGCACCAGGGGCTTTATGTATTTACTTTATAAACATGCAGAAGAAAAAGATCAGAGAAAGAAGTTAAACAGTTTGTGGTGAGTTCAGTGTCTGAGCTGAACACAAACACAGTCACACTCCCACAGACATCGTTAGTGTGTGCGTTGCTAGCTCACTCACAGCTAACGTTGATACAGGTGATCCATTGGCTGTTTGGAGGGTCACGCTCAAACTGACACAAGGCTGAAATTCCCTTTCCCGTCTGTCTGAACACACCTGTAGAGATACCTTCCCTCTGCTGAATACCTCCATTAACAAAACCGTTCTTCCTGAGTCTCTCTCTGTCCTCCCCCGACTAGTTCCCCGCCCACCTCCATGAGTGTCTGAATGACCGGCTGCACCGAGAACGGCGCCAAAGATTGTTCTGTAGCTCACTTAGATGGGGTGCTGCTGGTCAGTGTGTGTGTGCGTGTGATTATTCTGACATTTTCCCCACAAAATGTAAACCCATGAGTGTCGATGTGTGGTCCTTCAGGATGTCATTGTGAAGTCATGTGACTGGAGCAGTGGGTGACATCTTCTAAATTGTGCTTTCTTTGGGGGTCGGGGAGGATGAAAATGACATTTCGTGGTTAACTGGTTACTTAATTTGGTCTTTTGTAGATTATTTTTGTGTGTCGATTATGAAATTAAACAAAACAGGTGGTTTTCATGACGACTCTGCCAGACTGTTTGTTTCTCCATCTTAAAGTGAAATGAGTGTAAAGACGTTTTAAATGAACTTCCTCTGAACATGTGATGGAGCAACATGCTCATCCTCCATTAACACCAGCATGCTCACAGGCCCCTCCTCACAGGTCATTGATGTGCTCTTCATTTATTGGTGGGAGTGATTGAGGTGGGGTTTGTGAATCAGGTGAACTGAAAACACCAGTTCTCCCCTGATGTCAGTTCTGTCTCTGAAGAAAAGGCTCAAACTCATAAACCTTCAACACTGAAAGGAAGATTCAGTTTCTCTGCTTGGCCTGTTGTCATGGAAACACATCAGAGCAGCAGCAGGCTCATCGGACATCATGGCCAACCAGGTAAGTTTAAAGATTTAATTTTTAAAAAAAGGTTGAGATATTTCTCAAAACTGTGACCACTTCTTAAATGTTTCTCAGTCTTCTGATTATTTATAGCAGCAGGACGGTGTGTGTGTGGGATTCAGTGAAAATAAACTACAGAGTTCGTGTTGTTGTATTTAAGGATGTGTCACCCAGTGCAACAATGAGACTTTTTTTTTAACAGTTTTTGGACAAACTTGTTGGTAAAGTCAATAACTTTCTGGTTTTGGTCTGTTCACAGGAACTGTTGAGGATGATACATTTAAACTATAATAATTATTATCCTTTAAGTCAGGCCTGAGCTGTTTTGAGATTGAGTCAAGACCAAAAGACCAAGTCGCACTTTGGCAACTTGCACTACGCAGTACAAAAGGCTTTCTGGATGAAAAAAAAACTGCAGCTAGTGATTATTTTCATTGATTAATCTGTTAATTATATTCTCTTTTAATCATTTAATCTATGAAATTTCACAAAATAGTGAAATGATGTCCATGACAGTGTCTCACGGTCCGAGGTGACATTTTCATGTCTTTGTCCTGACAACCATTTACAACAGAAAAGCAGGAAATCGTTATATTTTAGATCCTGAAAACATTTTTTTTGTGTGTGTGTGTGTGTTACAATAGCAATTGTTAATTTCTTCCTGTCACCAATTGTTGCAGCTCTACATGGAACAATCTTGCCTAAATGTCAGGAATTAGGAATGAAGCAGCACAATCTTACTATTACAGTTTGGTGTCTCTCTGACAGCAGATCAGCTAAAATTCAAAGATTAAAGACCTTGAATTGATGGAGACTGAAGACTTAAAAACATTAGAGACTGAGAATAGTCTGAGGTAACATTAAACTAGAGTTACTGCATCATGGCTGTCGGTCTCTGCAAACCAGGCAAGCTGCACTTTCACTTTACATCCATGTCTGTAAAAACATGGCTGCTTCACAAACATCTTCCCCCTGACAACACAATCGGCAGTTTCAAGATGGAAACCCAAGATCAGTGTCACCAGATCAGTATCTGACCAAATGTTTCTCCTTGTGTTCCAGACATGTGACGCTGAGCAATGGCCAGAAAAGTGTCTTTGCAGAACATTATGATGTCACAGTGAAGTTGACCTTTAACCTTTTGGATTTAAAATGTCACCACTCCAATTCTTGCTTATGGCCAAAATCATGTTTTGTGAGGTCACAGTGACCTTTGACCTTTTGACCACCAATGGATGTTTGCTATAAACTTGAGAAAACTCCTTCAAGGTTCACAAGAATATGATGGATGGACGGACATATGGACAACCTGAAGACATAAAGGGTTCGTTCCAAATCGCATACTTTTTCTTTTTACTTAAAGTATGTACTGCAGCTGCCCTTAGAGTATGTGCTGTTGCATGCAGCTTGCACACAATCAGGACATACTACTTTCTCATTACATCACCCCCTGAACTTTGACCCTCTCACTCATATAACCTTGGGGGTAAAACAAAACACTGTTCACCAAGCTCGCCAGAGACAGAGGTCAACCCGAAGAGACCTGCTGTGGTAATAACTGCAAACATTGTAGATTCTAACATTATATTCACAATAGTAAAATTAGAGAAGCCATACATTTATATCATTGTGATTTATTATGTGTGCCCTTTTGTTGGTTATATTTATGATTATTTTATGCAACTAAACAATTAATATTCCTGTTATTACTAATCAACTGGTCATCGGTCACCTGAATGTGCTGTCATCCATCACTGCGACCTTAGACGGTTGATGTGAAGTTTCATTTGCTGTGCAGTGGATTATGGGTCAGGATAGCCAGGAAAGCATGCTGGCTTGCATACTGCAAAATCACACTGGATGTCGTAGAACATCCTGGTATTTTTGACACGCTATGTATGAGGACATACTAAATCTTTCTGGCATACTATATAGAATGGTAGGATGGGTACTGGAATGCACAGGCTGCCTCCAGTCGTGGCTGTCCCAGGCACAGAGGCATTAAAAAGACCAAACTCCAGAACTCCAGCTCTGGTCCTACCCCCCCTCCCTCGATAACAAACCATGACAGCGTCACAGCTACAATGAATATGCTTTATTTTCCTTTTACAAAAACAAACAAAACAAAAAAATTACCATCTAGAAATACAGGTATACAAGAAACAATATGATGGGAGTATTTGCAGTTGGATGCCTGGTTGTCAACAGCCAGCTGGATAATAATAATAAAATAAAAACGAGTTAACTACTTGTGGATGTTAAAGCTTCCAACCAAATGAAATCCCGTGCAGAGCAATGAGTCCCAAAAATACCTTCAGCACTAAGCCTTCACCTGTGAGCGGTTACACAGATAAATCTTAGTACAAAAGTAATGTTGGGACGTGCAGCTGCTGAGGGCTCTGCTTCTCACGTAGTTAATGATACCGTAATACTGATTTTGACCCGAACACTCTATAGCTAGGAGGTTATTATGAACATGGAGGTACACAGCGGATATGATATGAAGCACAGCAAATAATACAAAACAAAGAACAAAAGAGTAAGAGTTGAATATCTCCATGGTGTACCTGTTTCATCTCTTTCACATCTGGAATGAAATCCTTGCCGGCTTATGTTCTTATCTAGTGTCTAAGGCACTTTTAAAGAAACATACTGTTAACGTTTGGGAGGAGGGCAAAGAAGTCCGCTGTAGACAACCATCCTAATCTGCAGATCCATGATAAAAGACTAAATCAAAGTTGATGGATGGATATATGGGCACCCTGGCATGTAGCTTCACACTGTGGCGATTCAACTGTTGAGGCGGCTGCTGCAGTTCAAGCAAAGCTTGAATTCACGTCGCTAAACCTGGGCTAAAGCCACGAGGGAAGAACAAAACAACCTGTGAATACTGATTCATCAGGTCTGACTGTAGTCTGAAGAGTCGAGCTTCGACTCACTAAACCATGGCACAAACCAGCCCGGGTTTGTTCATCATAACGTTTCTGTTACATCTGAGTCACAGAGCTGAGAGTCTCTGAAAAATTACACGGCAATCCTTGAAATACACTTACTGCTGTTCTGAAGGTATCTCTAAAATCCTAAACACTTCTCAATGTATAGATAAGAAAGAATCTCATTTATTGCACATTGTTTTCAACTTTTTAGCCAGTGTGAAAAGTCTTTCAGAGAAAAGCTAAATGGTGGAGTCCTCCTGTAACACTGTCAAATTCATGATGGATGGGATTCAAATAGTTGCAGCTCCAGCACTAATGGTCCCTGCGGTGCTGAGATTGTTTTTATTGATTATTTTTAATCTTTAGCCCGTTTCCCAATTTCCAAGTCTCCATGCTCATTTTGTACTTCACAAGAAAAATATTAAAATCATTTTAGTGGTGATGAAAATATAAAACATTGAAATGTGATATGAATATGACCAAATGTAGCTAAAAATTCAATTATCATTATTTTATTTTTTTAAAACATCTTCTACTGTTATGAATTAGGAAATAGAGCTGTACCTTGGGATGTTAAAAATTCCTTTTTGTCTGAGCACTTTTAAAATTCTCAACCATCCTGGCTAAGAAGTTTAAAAACGTGTTTGTTGTGCAACAGATTTTTTTCATCCATACAGTGGAGAGTCTGAGAGGATTTCGAAAATGCTTCAAGTGGCCACACATATCGTTTAATTATCATCACAATATGAGCTTGTGCCATAAACACATTGTGAAAGACTGCGATATTGCAATGAAATTAGTCAGTTGAAAGAGTATAAGTAGAAAAAGGCACTTTAAACTGTAACATTCATTCATTTTTTATTGGTGCCTTTTGTGTTTATTTCAATGTAGTGTTGCCAAAAATTAAAGTTTATCGATACATATCGATTCTGAATATTTGAAACGGGTTTATTTCTCATTTTTCACAGTATCGATTCACCTGCATCGGCTGCGCTTTCTTACTGTGTTGCTGTTAATGTATACTGTGGTCTTTCTGCTGCTAACCAAGAAAAGCTGTCGTTGTCATGTTATAGCCTTGTCATATTTTCCCTTTAATAACATTTTTTTATTTTAAGCCCTCAGTGTAAATTTACCCTGTGGTATTGACTATAGATATTTTTCAAGGTACTGTATCGAAGTTAGAAGTTATGGTATTGTGACAGCACTATGTCGATGTCTGATTTGCTCAATACAAATACAAATTTAAAAATACAACAAGCAATCTGTTGTATAGCAGTAAACCGAAAGCAGCAGAAAACTGACTTTAATATCCCTTGATTTTAAAGTAATGTCTTTATCATAATGTTCAACTTTTTGCACGTCTCATATCTTCCACACGTCGTGCAGCCGTACTTCACAACAGCTGTAAGTGTTGTTTGGGTTTCCAAAGATCAGCAGGTTATTCCTTTTCAGAAAAATGTTTTGGCTCTGTGACTCAGATACAGTGATGATACAAACTGGGGCTCGGCACAAACACTGAAATGTAGTGAGAAGATGACTGTTTTCAATCTGTCTGATTTCTACTGAAACTACAAGTTTAACCATTTAGTGTCACATTAAAGTCGTGGCCTGAGCGTCACTTTAGTGCTTCCAGTAAGAGCTTTATTTTTCTCCCTGTTGGTTTCCAGTTAAAAATTCACACATCTTCCTGT